ACCAAACCCAACGGGTCCCCTCTGGTGGGGGAAGGTCCCCAGGGCTCCCCTGAGCCACCCAGGACCTCCTGGAGGAGGGTTTGGCTCCCGAGTCCTCCCCGTGGGAGGTGGGATGAGGAGGCTCCACAGCCCAAGGAACATCGGAGAAGCTTCGAGGTCTTGCTGGGCAACCAAGGGGGGGTCGTGGTGGGACCAAGGTGGGTTTCTTGACGTTCTCCACCCCCCCCTGGGCCAGGGACCTGCAGGTGCTGATCGGGACGGACACGTTGAGGTCGGGGACGGGGGAGGTGAGAACCATCACCAAGCTCTGGGTCCACCCCTCCTACAACCCCCGCAAGAACGACAACGACTTCATGGTCCTGAGGTTGAACAAACCCGTGGAGTTCAGCAACAGCATCAAGAGGATCAGGTTGGCCACCAGGTGCCCCAGGCCTGGCATGAGGTGCAGCGTCTCCGGATGGGGAACCATTAAATCTCCTGGAGGTACTGGGATGGTGTGGGAGGGGGGTGGAGACCTCAGGGAGGGGTCTCCAAGGACAAGGAAGGTCTGGTGACCTTCTCGGGTGGGCCAAGGGGATGGGGGTTTCCATGGTGGCACCTCAACACCCACCAACTGGTGGTGACTCCTTCTCCTCCAGGATGGAGGTTCAGTTCGTCCCACCAGTGTCCTGAGGTCCCACCAAAGCTTCAGCCCCCCCCCCCCCCAGGTGGTTGCCCCTTCCTGACCCTTCTCTCCATCCCCCACCTTCTCCTCCAGCTCTGCTGCCCAAGGACCTCCAATGTGCAGCCATCCAGACCTTTGGAGAAGCCAAGTGCTCCAGGGCCTACGGAAACGCCGTCACCCGCAACATGTTCTGTGCTGGGGTCCCCCAGGGGGGCATCGACTCCTGCCAGGTGAGGGGACACCTTGGGGACATCCCTCTGGTCACCTCCAGGCGGTCCATGGGTCTTGGAGAACCAGCAGCAGGTGGTGGTGGGACCAGGGGGGAGGGTTTGGGGGTCCTTCAACAGTGGCCGTGGAACCAGGGGATGGACCAGTGGGAGGTGGGAAGGTCCATGGGGGTCTTGGGTTCCTCCAGGACCTCCAACCAAGGTCCATGGGGGTCTTGGGTTCCTCCAGGACCTCCAACCCAGCCCATGAAACCAGAACAAGGTCCATGGGGGTCTTGGGTTCCTCCAGGATCTCCAACCCAGGTCCATGGGGGTCTTGGGTTCCTCCAGGACCTCCAACCAAGGTCCATGGGGGGTCTTGGGTTCCTCCAGGACCTCCAACCAAGGTCTATGGGGGTCTTGGATTCCTCCAGGACCTCCAACCAAGGTCCATGGGGGGTCTTGGGTTCCTCCAGGACCTCCAACCAAGGTCTATGGGGGTCTTGGGTTCCTCCAGGACCTCCAAACAAGGTCCATGGGGGTCTTGGGTTCCTCCAGGACCTCCAACCAAGGTCCATGGGGGTCTTGGGTTCCTCCAGGACCTCCAACCAAGGTCTATGGGGGTCTTGGGTTCCTCCAGGACCTCCAACACAGCCCATGAAACCAGAACAAGGTCCATGGCGGGTCTTGGTTCCTCCAGGACCTCCAACCCAAGGTCCATGACAGGTGGGCAGGTCCATAGGGGGCCTCAGGTTCCTCTGGGAGGTCTCAGGTTCCTCCAGGACCTCCAACCCAGGCCAATAAACCAGAACAAGGTCCATGGGGGGTCTCAGGTTCCCCCAGTACCTCCAGCCCAGCCCATGAGACCAGAATAAGGTCCATGAGAAGTCTCAGGTTCCTCTAGGAGGTCTCAGGTTCCTCTGGGAGGTCTCAGGTTCCTCTGGGAGGACCTCCAACCCAAAGTCCATGGCAGGTGGGCAGGTCCATGGGGGGTCTCAGGTTCCTCCAGAACCTCCGAAGCAGTAAGAGGTCCCTGGGAGGGCCCAGGTTCCTCCAGGACCTCCAACCCAAAGTCCATGGCAGGTGGGCAGGTCCATGGGGGGTCTCAGGTTCCCCCAGGACCTCCAGCCCAGCCCATGAGCCCAGAACAAGGTCCATGGCAGGTTCCACCACCCACCTCCCCCTCGGTCCCTCCGGTGGGTCCTGGCAGGTCCCCAGGGTGTCCCACCACGTCTCCTTCTCCCCAGGGGGACTCGGGAGGCCCCTTGGTGTGCGACGGGGTCCTGCAGGGGGTGGTGTCCTGGGGCATGGCCGTGTGTGGCCGGCGGGGACAACCCGGTGTCTACTCCAACGTCTGTCGTGCTGCGTCCTGGATCCGGAGGCTCCTCAGGGAGCAGTGAGGACTCAGCATCTCCAGCATCTCCAGCCTCTTCAGCCCCTCCAGCATCTCCAGCCCCTCCAGCGTCTCCAGCCCCTCCAGCATCTCCAGCATCTCCAGCCCCTCCAGCATCTCCAGCATCTCCACCCACTCCCTCCATCATCTCCATCTTCATCATCTCTATCATCTCCACCATCTCCAGCCCCTCCAGTCCCATCATCTCCTCCAGCTCCATCGTCTCCACCATCCCCATCCCCATCATCCCCATCACCTCCACCACCTCCAGCCCCATCTCCTCCATCTCCTCCATCCCCACCATCTCCAGCTCCATCATCTCCACCAGTTCCAGCCCCACCAGCTCCATCATCTCCACCAGTTCCAGCCCCACCAGTCCCACCAGCTCCATCATCTCCACCAGTTCCATCCCCACCAGCTCTACCAGCTCCAGCTCCATCACCTCCAGTTCCACCAGTTCTAGGTCCATCACCTCCAGTTCCACCTCCAGTTCCAGTTCCTCCAGCTCCAGCTCCACCATTTCCAGTTCCAGTTCCTCCAGCTCCAGTTCCAGTTCCACCATCTCCAGTTCCAGTTCCTCCAGCTCCAGTTCCAGTTCCACCATCTCCAGTTCCAGCTCCACCATCTCCAGTTCCAGTTCCTCCAGCTCCAGTTCCACCAGTTCCACCACCTCCAGTTTGGGGGAAAATAAAGAAAAGAGCAAAACCAATGAGATGGAGTCATGGGGGAACTGGGAGCACTGGGAAGTGGGGGTGGTGGGAACTGGAAGCACTGGGAAGTTGGGCAGTGTTAACTGGGAACACTGGGAAGTGGGGGTGGTGGGAACTGGAAGCACTGGGAAGTTGGGCAGTGTTAACTGGGAGCACTGGGAAGTGGGGGTGGTGGGAACTGGAAGCACTGGGAAGTTGGGCAGTGTTAACTGGGAACACTGGGAAGTGGGGGTGGTGGGAACTGGAAGCACTGGGAAGTTGGGCAGTGTTAACTGGGAACACTGGGAAGTGGGGGTGGTGGGAACTGGAAGCACTGGGAAGTTGGGCAGTGTTAACTGGGAACACTGGGAAGTGGGGGTGGTGGGAACTGGAAGCACTGGGAAGTTGGGCAGTGTTAACTGGGAACACTGGGAAGTGGGGGTGGTGGGAACTGGAAGCACTGGGAAGTTGGGCAGTGTTAACTGGGAACACTGGGAAGTGGGGGTGGTGGGAACTGGAAGCACTGGGAAGTTGGGCAGTGTTAACTGGGAACACTGGGAAGTGGGGGTGGTGGGAACTGGAAGCACTGGGAAGTTGGGCAGTGTTAACTGGGAACACTGGGAAGTGGGGGTGGTGGGAACTGGAAGCACTGGGAAGTTGGGCAGTGTTAACTGGGAACACTGGGAAGTGGGGGTGGTGGGAACTGGAAGCACTGGGAAGTTGGGCAGTGTTAACTGGGAACACTGGGAAGTGGGGGTGGTGGGAACTGGAAGCACTGGGAAGTTGGGCAGTGTTAACTGGGAACACTGGGAAGTGGGGGTGGTGGGAACTGGAAGCACTGGGAAGTTGGGCAGTGTTAACTGGGAACACTGGGAAGTGGGGGTGGTGGGAACTGGAAGCACTGGGAAGTTGGGCAGTGTTAACTGGGAACACTGGGAAGTGGGGGTGGTGGGAACTGGAAGCACTGGGAAGTTGGGCAGTGTTAACTGGGAACACTGGGAAGTGGGGGTGGTGGGAACTGGAAGCACTGGGAAGTTGGGCAGTGTTAACTGGGAACACTGGGAAGTGGGGGTGGTGGGAACTGGAAGCACTGGGAAGTTGGGCAGTGTTAACTGGGAACACTGGGAAGTGGGGGTGGTGGGAACTGGAAGCACTGGGAAGTTGGGCAGTGTTAACTGGGAACACTGGGAAGTGGGGGTGGTGGGAACTGGAAGCACTGGGAAGTTGGGCAGTGTTAACTGGGAACACTGGGAAGTGGGGGTGGTGGGAACTGGAAGCACTGGGAAGTTGGGCAGTGTTAACTGGGAACACTGGGAAGTGGGGGTGGTGGGAACTGGAAGCACTGGGAAGTTGGGCAGTGTTAACTGGGAACACTGGGAAGTGGGGGTGGTGGGAACTGGAAGCACTGGGAAGTTGGGCAGTGTTAACTGGGAACACTGGGAAGTGGGGGTGGTGGGAACTGGAAGCACTGGGAAGTTGGGCAGTGTTAACTGGGAACACTGGGAAGTGGGGGTGGTGGGAACTGGAAGCACTGGGAAGTTGGGCAGTGTTAACTGGGAACACTGGGAAGTGGGGGTGGTGGGAACTGGAAGCACTGGGAAGTTGGGCAGTGTTAACTGGGAACACTGGGAAGTGGGGGTGGTGGGAACTGGAAGCACTGGGAAGTTGGGCAGTGTTAACTGGGAACACTGGGAAGTGGGGGTGGTGGGAACTGGAAGCACTGGGAAGTTGGGCAGTGTTAACTGGGAACACTGGGAAGTGGGGGTGGTGGGAACTGGAAGCACTGGGAAGTTGGGCAGTGTTAACTGGGAACACTGGGAAGTGGGGGTGGTGGGAACTGGAAGCACTGGGAAGTTGGGCAGTGTTAACTGGGAACACTGGGAAGTGGGGGTGGTGGGAACTGGAAGCACTGGGAAGTTGGGCAGTGTTAACTGGGAACACTGGGAAGTGGGGGTGGTGGGAACTGGAAGCACTGGGAAGTTGGGCAGTGTTAACTGGGAACACTGGGAAGTGGGGGTGGTGGGAACTGGAAGCACTGGGAAGTTGGGCAGTGTTAACTGGGAACACTGGGAAGTGGGGGTGGTGGGAACTGGAAGCACTGGGAAGTTGGGCAGTGTTAACTGGGAACACTGGGAAGTGGGGGTGGTGGGAACTGGAAGCACTGGGAAGTTGGGCAGTGTTAACTGGGAACACTGGGAAGTGGGGGTGGTGGGAACTGGAAGCACTGGGAAGTTGGGCAGTGTTAACTGGGAACACTGGGAAGTGGGGGTGGTGGGAACTGGAAGCACTGGGAAGTTGGGCAGTGTTAACTGGGAACACTGGGAAGTGGGGGTGGTGGGAACTGGAAGCACTGGGAAGTTGGGCAGTGTTAACTGGGAACACTGGGAAGTGGGGGTGGTGGGAACTGGAAGCACTGGGAAGTTGGGCAGTGTTAACTGGGAACACTGGGAAGTGGGGGTGGTGGGAACTGGAAGCACTGGGAAGTTGGGCAGTGTTAACTGGGAACACTGGGAAGTGGGGGTGGTGGGAACTGGAAGCACTGGGAAGTTGGGCAGTGTTAACTGGGAACACTGGGAAGTGGGGGTGGTGGGAACTGGAAGCACTGGGAAGTTGGGCAGTGTTAACTGGGAACACTGGGAAGTGGGGGTGGTGGGAACTGGAAGCACTGGGAAGTTGGGCAGTGTTAACTGGGAACACTGGGAAGTGGGGGTGGTGGGAACTGGAAGCACTGGGAAGTTGGGCAGTGTTAACTGGGAACACTGGGAAGTGGGGGTGGTGGGAACTGGAAGCACTGGGAAGTTGGGCAGTGTTAACTGGGAACACTGGGAAGTGGGGGTGGTGGGAACTGGAAGCACTGGGAAGTTGGGCAGTGTTAACTGGGAACACTGGGAAGTGGGGGTGGTGGGAACTGGAAGCACTGGGAAGTTGGGCAGTGTTAACTGGGAACACTGGGAAGTGGGGGTGGTGGGAACTGGAAGCACTGGGAAGTTGGGCAGTGTTAACTGGGAACACTGGGAAGTGGGGGTGGTGGGAACTGGAAGCACTGGGAAGTTGGGCAGTGTTAACTGGGAACACTGGGAAGTGGGGGTGGTGGGAACTGGAAGCACTGGGAAGTTGGGCAGTGTTAACTGGGAACACTGGGAAGTGGGGGTGGTGGGAACTGGAAGCACTGGGAAGTTGGGCAGTGTTAACTGGGAACACTGGGAAGTGGGGGTGGTGGGAACTGGAAGCACTGGGAAGTTGGGCAGTGTTAACTGGGAACACTGGGAAGTGGGGGTGGTGGGAACTGGAAGCACTGGGAAGTTGGGCAGTGTTAACTGGGAACACTGGGAAGTGGGGGTGGTGGGAACTGGAAGCACTGGGAAGTTGGGCAGTGTTAACTGGGAACACTGGGAAGTGGGGGTGGTGGGAACTGGAAGCACTGGGAAGTTGGGCAGTGTTAACTGGGAACACTGGGAAGTGGGGGTGGTGGGAACTGGAAGCACTGGGAAGTTGGGCAGTGTTAACTGGGAACACTGGGAAGTGGGGGTGGTGGGAACTGGAAGCACTGGGAAGTTGGGCAGTGTTAACTGGGAACACTGGGAAGTGGGGGTGGTGGGAACTGGAAGCACTGGGAAGTTGGGCAGTGTTAACTGGGAACACTGGGAAGTGGGGGTGGTGGGAACTGGAAGCACTGGGAAGTTGGGCAGTGTTAACTGGGAACACTGGGAAGTGGGGGTGGTGGGAACTGGAAGCACTGGGAAGTTGGGCAGTGTTAACTGGGAACACTGGGAAGTGGGGGTGGTGGGAACTGGAAGCACTGGGAAGTTGGGCAGTGTTAACTGGGAACACTGGGAAGTGGGGGTGGTGGGAACTGGAAGCACTGGGAAGTTGGGCAGTGTTAACTGGGAACACTGGGAAGTGGGGGTGGTGGGAACTGGAAGCACTGGGAAGTTGGGCAGTGTTAACTGGGAACACTGGGAAGTGGGGGTGGTGGGAACTGGAAGCACTGGGAAGTTGGGCAGTGTTAACTGGGAACACTGGGAAGTGGGGGTGGTGGGAACTGGAAGCACTGGGAAGTTGGGCAGTGTTAACTGGGAACACTGGGAAGTGGGGGTGGTGGGAACTGGAAGCACTGGGAAGTTGGGCAGTGTTAACTGGGAACACTGGGAAGTGGGGGTGGTGGGAACTGGAAGCACTGGGAAGTTGGGCAGTGTTAACTGGGAACACTGGGAAGTGGGGGTGGTGGGAACTGGAAGCACTGGGAAGTTGGGCAGTGTTAACTGGGAACACTGGGAAGTGGGGGTGGTGGGAACTGGAAGCACTGGGAAGTTGGGCAGTGTTAACTGGGAACACTGGGAAGTGGGGGTGGTGGGAACTGGAAGCACTGGGAAGTTGGGCAGTGTTAACTGGGAACACTGGGAAGTGGGGGTGGTGGGAACTGGAAGCACTGGGAAGTTGGGCAGTGTTAACTGGGAACACTGGGAAGTGGGGGTGGTGGGAACTGGAAGCACTGGGAAGTTGGGCAGTGTTAACTGGGAACACTGGGAAGTGGGGGTGGTGGGAACTGGAAGCACTGGGAAGTTGGGCAGTGTTAACTGGGAACACTGGGAAGTGGGGGTGGTGGGAACTGGAAGCACTGGGAAGTTGGGCAGTGTTAACTGGGAACACTGGGAAGTGGGGGTGGTGGGAACTGGAAGCACTGGGAAGTTGGGCAGTGTTAACTGGGAACACTGGGAAGTGGGGGTGGTGGGAACTGGAAGCACTGGGAAGTTGGGCAGTGTTAACTGGGAACACTGGGAAGTGGGGGTGGTGGGAACTGGAAGCACTGGGAAGTTGGGCAGTGTTAACTGGGAACACTGGGAAGTGGGGGTGGTGGGAACTGGAAGCACTGGGAAGTTGGGCAGTGTTAACTGGGAACACTGGGAAGTGGGGGTGGTGGGAACTGGAAGCACTGGGAAGTTGGGCAGTGTTAACTGGGAACACTGGGAAGTGGGGGTGGTGGGAACTGGAAGCACTGGGAAGTTGGGCAGTGTTAACTGGGAACACTGGGAAGTGGGGGTGGTGGGAACTGGAAGCACTGGGAAGTTGGGCAGTGTTAACTGGGAACACTGGGAAGTGGGGGTGGTGGGAACTGGAAGCACTGGGAAGTTGGGCAGTGTTAACTGGGAACACTGGGAAGTGGGGGTGGTGGGAACTGGAAGCACTGGGAAGTTGGGCAGTGTTAACTGGGAACACTGGGAAGTGGGGGTGGTGGGAACTGGAAGCACTGGGAAGTTGGGCAGTGTTAACTGGGAACACTGGGAAGTGGGGGTGGTGGGAACTGGAAGCACTGGGAAGTTGGGCAGTGTTAACTGGGAACACTGGGAAGTGGGGGTGGTGGGAACTGGAAGCACTGGGAAGTTGGGCAGTGTTAACTGGGAACACTGGGAAGTGGGGGTGGTGGGAACTGGAAGCACTGGGAAGTTGGGCAGTGTTAACTGGGAACACTGGGAAGTGGGGGTGGTGGGAACTGGAAGCACTGGGAAGTTGGGCAGTGTTAACTGGGAACACTGGGAAGTGGGGGTGGTGGGAACTGGAAGCACTGGGAAGTTGGGCAGTGTTAACTGGGAACACTGGGAAGTGGGGGTGGTGGGAACTGGAAGCACTGGGAAGTTGGGCAGTGTTAACTGGGAACACTGGGAAGTGGGGGTGGTGGGAACTGGAAGCACTGGGAAGTTGGGCAGTGTTAACTGGGAACACTGGGAAGTGGGGGTGGTGGGAACTGGAAGCACTGGGAAGTTGGGCAGTGTTAACTGGGAACACTGGGAAGTGGGGGTGGTGGGAACTGGAAGCACTGGGAAGTTGGGCAGTGTTAACTGGGAACACTGGGAAGTGGGGGTGGTGGGAACTGGAAGCACTGGGAAGTTGGGCAGTGTTAACTGGGAACACTGGGAAGTGGGGGTGGTGGGAACTGGAAGCACTGGGAAGTTGGGCAGTGTTAACTGGGAACACTGGGAAGTGGGGGTGGTGGGAACTGGAAGCACTGGGAAGTTGGGCAGTGTTAACTGGGAACACTGGGAAGTGGGGGTGGTGGGAACTGGAAGCACTGGGAAGTTGGGCAGTGTTAACTGGGAACACTGGGAAGTGGGGGTGGTGGGAACTGGAAGCACTGGGAAGTTGGGCAGTGTTAACTGGGAACACTGGGAAGTGGGGGTGGTGGGAACTGGAAGCACTGGGAAGTTGGGCAGTGTTAACTGGGAACACTGGGAAGTGGGGGTGGTGGGAACTGGAAGCACTGGGAAGTTGGGCAGTGTTAACTGGGAACACTGGGAAGTGGGGGTGGTGGGAACTGGAAGCACTGGGAAGTTGGGCAGTGTTAACTGGGAACACTGGGAAGTGGGGGTGGTGGGAACTGGAAGCACTGGGAAGTTGGGCAGTGTTAACTGGGAACACTGGGAAGTGGGGGTGGTGGGAACTGGAAGCACTGGGAAGTTGGGCAGTGTTAACTGGGAACACTGGGAAGTGGGGGTGGTGGGAACTGGAAGCACTGGGAAGTTGGGCAGTGTTAACTGGGAACACTGGGAAGTGGGGGTGGTGGGAACTGGAAGCACTGGGAAGTTGGGCAGTGTTAACTGGGAACACTGGGAAGTGGGGGTGGTGGGAACTGGAAGCACTGGGAAGTTGGGCAGTGTTAACTGGGAACACTGGGAAGTGGGGGTGGTGGGAACTGGAAGCACTGGGAAGTTGGGCAGTGTTAACTGGGAACACTGGGAAGTGGGGGTGGTGGGAACTGGAAGCACTGGGAAGTTGGGCAGTGTTAACTGGGAACACTGGGAAGTGGGGGTGGTGGGAACTGGAAGCACTGGGAAGTTGGGCAGTGTTAACTGGGAACACTGGGAAGTGGGGGTGGTGGGAACTGGAAGCACTGGGAAGTTGGGCAGTGTTAACTGGGAACACTGGGAAGTGGGGGTGGTGGGAACTGGAAGCACTGGGAAGTTGGGCAGTGTTAACTGGGAACACTGGGAAGTGGGGGTGGTGGGAACTGGAAGCACTGGGAAGTTGGGCAGTGTTAACTGGGAACACTGGGAAGTGGGGGTGGTGGGAACTGGAAGCACTGGGAAGTTGGGCAGTGTTAACTGGGAACACTGGGAAGTGGGGGTGGTGGGAACTGGAAGCACTGGGAAGTTGGGCAGTGTTAACTGGGAACACTGGGAAGTGGGGGTGGTGGGAACTGGAAGCACTGGGAAGTTGGGCAGTGTTAACTGGGAACACTGGGAAGTGGGGGTGGTGGGAACTGGAAGCACTGGGAAGTTGGGCAGTGTTAACTGGGAACACTGGGAAGTGGGGGTGGTGGGAACTGGAAGCACTGGGAAGTTGGGCAGTGTTAACTGGGAACACTGGGAAGTGGGGGTGGTGGGAACTGGAAGCACTGGGAAGTTGGGCAGTGTTAACTGGGAACACTGGGAAGTGGGGGTGGTGGGAACTGGAAGCACTGGGAAGTTGGGCAGTGTTAACTGGGAACACTGGGAAGTGGGGGTGGTGGGAACTGGAAGCACTGGGAAGTTGGGCAGTGTTAACTGGGAACACTGGGAAGTGGGGGTGGTGGGAACTGGAAGCACTGGGAAGTTGGGCAGTGTTAACTGGGAACACTGGGAAGTGGGGGTGGTGGGAACTGGAAGCACTGGGAAGTTGGGCAGTGTTAACTGGGAACACTGGGAAGTGGGGGTGGTGGGAACTGGAAGCACTGGGAAGTTGGGCAGTGTTAACTGGGAACACTGGGAAGTGGGGGTGGTGGGAACTGGAAGCACTGGGAAGTTGGGCAGTGTTAACTGGGAACACTGGGAAGTGGGGGTGGTGGGAACTGGAAGCACTGGGAAGTTGGGCAGTGTTAACTGGGAACACTGGGAAGTGGGGGTGGTGGGAACTGGAAGCACTGGGAAGTTGGGCAGTGTTAACTGGGAACACTGGGAAGTGGGGGTGGTGGGAACTGGAAGCACTGGGAAGTTGGGCAGTGTTAACTGGGAACACTGGGAAGTGGGGGTGGTGGGAACTGGAAGCACTGGGAAGTTGGGCAGTGTTAACTGGGAACACTGGGAAGTGGGGGTGGTGGGAACTGGAAGCACTGGGAAGTTGGGCAGTGTTAACTGGGAACACTGGGAAGTGGGGGTGGTGGGAACTGGAAGCACTGGGAAGTTGGGCAGTGTTAACTGGGAACACTGGGAAGTGGGGGTGGTGGGAACTGGAAGCACTGGGAAGTTGGGCAGTGTTAACTGGGAACACTGGGAAGTGGGGGTGGTGGGAACTGGAAGCACTGGGAAGTTGGGCAGTGTTAACTGGGAACACTGGGAAGTGGGGGTGGTGGGAACTGGAAGCACTGGGAAGTTGGGCAGTGTTAACTGGGAACACTGGGAAGTGGGGGTGGTGGGAACTGGAAGCACTGGGAAGTTGGGCAGTGTTAACTGGGAACACTGGGAAGTGGGGGTGGTGGGAACTGGAAGCACTGGGAAGTTGGGCAGTGTTAACTGGGAACACTGGGAAGTGGGGGTGGTGGGAACTGGAAGCACTGGGAAGTTGGGCAGTGTTAACTGGGAACACTGGGAAGTGGGGGTGGTGGGAACTGGAAGCACTGGGAAGTTGGGCAGTGTTAACTGGGAACACTGGGAAGTGGGGGTGGTGGGAACTGGAAGCACTGGGAAGTTGGGCAGTGTTAACTGGGAACACTGGGAAGTGGGGGTGGTGGGAACTGGAAGCACTGGGAAGTTGGGCAGTGTTAACTGGGAACACTGGGAAGTGGGGGTGGTGGGAACTGGAAGCACTGGGAAGTTGGGCAGTGTTAACTGGGAACACTGGGAAGTGGGGGTGGTGGGAACTGGAAGCACTGGGAAGTTGGGCAGTGTTAACTGGGAACACTGGGAAGTGGGGGTGGTGGGAACTGGAAGCACTGGGAAGTTGGGCAGTGTTAACTGGGAACACTGGGAAGTGGGGGTGGTGGGAACTGGAAGCACTGGGAAGTTGGGCAGTGTTAACTGGGAACACTGGGAAGTGGGGGTGGTGGGAACTGGAAGCACTGGGAAGTTGGGCAGTGTTAACTGGGAACACTGGGAAGTGGGGGTGGTGGGAACTGGAAGCACTGGGAAGTTGGGCAGTGTTAACTGGGAACACTGGGAAGTGGGGGTGGTGGGAACTGGAAGCACTGGGAAGTTGGGCAGTGTTAACTGGGAACACTGGGAAGTGGGGGTGGTGGGAACTGGAAGCACTGGGAAGTTGGGCAGTGTTAACTGGGAACACTGGGAAGTGGGGGTGGTGGGAACTGGAAGCACTGGGAAGTTGGGCAGTGTTAACTGGGAACACTGGGAAGTGGGGGTGGTGGGAACTGGAAGCACTGGGAAGTTGGGCAGTGTTAACTGGGAACACTGGGAAGTGGGGGTGGTGGGAACTGGAAGCACTGGGAAGTTGGGCAGTGTTATCCACCATCTCCAGTTCCAGTTCCTCCAGCTCCAGTTCCACCAGTTCCACCACCTCCAGTTTGGGGGAAAATAAAGAAAAGAGCAAAACCAATGAGATGGAGTCATGGGGGAACTGGGAGCACTGGGAAGTGGGGGTGGTGGGAACTGGAAGCACTGGGAAGTTGGGCAGTGTTAACTGGGAACACTGGGAAGTGGGGGTGGTGGGAACTGGAAGCACTGGGAAGTTGGGCAGTGTTAACTGGGAGCACTGGGAAGCTGGGCAGTGGGAACTGGGAGCACTGGGAGATGGGGGTGGTGGGAACTGGGGACACTGGGAAGTTGGGCAGTGTTAGCTGGGAGCACTGGGAAGCTGGGCAGTGTTAACTGGGAGCACTGGGAAGCTGGGCAGTGGGAACTGGGAGCACTGGGGAAAGCGGCACAGGGAAACTGGGAGCATTAGGAAGTGGGGTTGGTGGGAACTGAGGACACTGGGAGCACTGGGAAGGGGGGGTGCAGAGGGAACTGGAAGCACTGGTAAGTGGGGCAGAGGGAACTGGGAGTACTGGGAGCACTGGGAAGTGGGGGTGGTGGGAACTGGAAGCACTGAGAAGTGGGGCAGTAGGAACTGGGAGCACTGGGGAAGGGGGGGGCAGAGGGAACTAGGGGCACTGGGAGCACTGGGAAGTGGGGCTGGTGGGAACTGGGAACACTGGGTATTGGAACAGTGGGAACTGGGAGCACTGGGGAGGAGGGGCAGAGGGAAGTGGGAGCACTGGGGAGGGGGTGCAGAGGGAACTGGGAGCACTGGGAGGGGGGATGGTGGGAATCTGGAAAGGGCTCTGGGAGGTACTGGGAGGGATAAAAAAGGTACTGGGAGGCACAATAAAGGTACTGGGAGGCACAATAAAGGTACTGGGAGGCACTGGGAGAGACAATAATGGTACTGGGAAGCACTGGGGAGTTCACTAAGGGCGCTGAGAGGTACTGGGAGGCACTGGGAGGGACAATAGGGGTACTGGGAAGGTCACTGGGAGGGACACTGGTAAGTTCTGGGAGGCACTGGGAGCACTGGGGGGTTCAATAAGGGCACTGGGAGGGACAATGAGGGCACTGGGAGGCACTGGGAAGTACTGGGGAGTTCAATAAGGGCACTGGGAGGCACTGGGGAGTTCAGTGAGATCACTGGAAGATACTGGGAGGGACAATTAAGGTTCTGGGAAGGGCACTGGGAGGCACTGGGAGGGACAATGAGGGCACTGGGAGGCACTGGGAGGCACCGGGGTGTTCTGGGAGGGCACTGGGAGGGACAGTAAGGGTACTGGGAGGCACTGGGAAGCACTGGAGAGTTCAATAAGGGCACTGGGAGACACTGGAAGGCACTGGGAAGTTCAGTGAGAGCACTGGGAGTTACTGGGAGAGACAATAAGGACACTGGGAGACACTGGGATGTACTGGGAGTCTGTGGAAGGCACTGGGAGGCACTGGGGAGTTCACTAAGAGTACTGGGAGATACTGGGAGGGACAATAAAGGTACTGGGAGGCACTGGAAAACACTGGGGAGTTCTGTGAGGGCACTGGGAAATACTGGGAGGGACAATAAAGGCACTGGGAGGGACAATAGGGGCACTGGGAACTACTGGGAGGGACAATAAAGGTACTGGGAGGCACTGGAAAACACTGGGGAGTTCTGTGAGGGCACTGGGAAATACTGGGAGGGACAATAAAGGCACTGGGAGGGACAATAGGGGCACTGGGAACTACTGGGAGGGACAATAAAGGTACTGGGAGGCACTGGAAAACACTGGGGAGTTCTGTGAGGGCACTGGGAAATACTGGGAGGGATAATAAAGGCACTGGGAGGGACAATAGGGGCACTGGGAAGTACTGGGAGGCACTGGGGAGCTCTGTGAAGGCACTGGGAGACACTGGGGGGGAAAATAGGGGCGCTGGGAACTACTGGGAGGCACTGGGAGGGACAATAGTACTGGGAGGCACAATAAAGGTACTGGGAGGGACTGGAAAGGGCTCTGGGAGGTACTGGGAGGGATAAAAAAGGTTCTGTGAGGGCACTGGGAAATACTGGGAGGCACAATAAAGGTACTGGGAGGGACTGGAAAGGGCTCTGGGAGGTACTGGGAGGGATAAAAAAGGTACTGGGAGGCACAATAAAGGTACTGGGAGGCACTGGGAGAGACAATAGGGGCACTGGGAAGTACTGGGAGGCACTGGGAGAGACAATAATGGTACTGGGAAGCACTGGGGAGTTCACTAAGGGCGCTGAGAGGTACTGGGAGGCACTGGGAGGGACAATAGGGGTACTGGGAAGGTCACTGGGAGGGACACTGGTAAGTTCTGGGAGGCACTGGGAGCACTGGGGGGTTCAATAAGGGCACTGGGAGGGACAATGAGGGCACTGGGAGGCACTGGGAAGTACTGGGGAGTTCAATAAGGGCACTGGGAGGCACTGGGGAGTTCAGTGAGATCACTGGAAGATACTGGGAGGGACAATTAAGGTTCTGGGAAGGGCACTGGGAGGCACTGGGAGGGACAATGAGGGCACTGGGAGGCACTGGGAGGCACCGGGGTGTTCTGGGAGGGCACTGGGAGGGACAGTAAGGGTACTGGGAGGCACTGGGAAGCACTGGAGAGTTCAATAAGGGCACTGGGAGACACTGGAAGGCACTGGGAAGTTCAGTGAGAGCACTGGGAGTTACTGGGAGAGACAATAAGGACACTGGGAGACACTGGGATGTACTGGGAGTCTGTGGAAGGCACTGGGAGGCACTGGGGAGTTCACTAAGAGTACTGGGAGATACTGGGAGGGACAATAAAGGTACTGGGAGGTACTGGGAAGGACAATAAGGACACTGGGAAGGCACTGGGAGGCACTGGGACGTACTGGGAGTCTGTGGGAGGTACTGGGATTGCCTAGAAAGCACTGGTTGGCACTGGTTGGCACTGGGAGCACTGGTTGGCACTGGGGAGGGGCACTGGGAGAACTGGGAAGGCAATGGGAGCACTGGGAGGCACCATTTGTCCTGGTTTTACTGGGAGGGCAGTGGTGTTACTGGGAGCACTGGGAGGGTCCCAGGGATTGCATGAGGGGCACTGGGAGGCACTAGGAAGGCACTCGTGTTACTGGGAGGGCACTGGGAGGACACTGGGAGGGTCGCAGGGAGTGCACGAGGGGCACTGGGGGAGGGCACTGGTGTCACTGGTGTTACGGGGAGCACTGGGAGGGCACTGGGAAGGTCCTAGGGGGTGCACGGCGGGCACTGGGAGGCACTGGTGTTACTGGGATGGCACTGGGAAGGTCCCAGGGAGTGCAGGAGGGGGCACTGGGGGAGGGCACCGGTGTCACTGGTGTTACTGGGAGCACTGGGAGGGCACTGGGGAGGTCCCAGGGGGTGCAGGAGGGGCACTGGGGGAGGGCACTGGTGTCACTGGTGTTACTGGGAGCACTGGGAGGCTCCCAGGGAGTGCACGAGGGGCACTGGGAGGCACTGGTGTTACTGGGAGGGCACTGGGAAGGTCCCAGGGGGTGCTCGGGGGGCACTGGGAGGCACTGGTGTTACTGGGATGGCACTGAGAAGGTCCCAGGGGGTGCAGGAGGGGGCACTGGGGGAGGGCACCGGTGTCACTGGTGTTACTGGGAGCACTGGGAGGCTCCCAGGGAGTGCACGAGGGGCACTGGGAGGCACTGGTGTTACTGGGATGGCACTGAGAAGGTCCCAGGGGGTGCAGGAGGGGGCACTGGGGGAGGGCACCGGTGTCACTGGTGTTACTGGGAGCACTGGGAGGCTCCCAGGGAGTGCACGAGGGGCACTGGGAGGCACTGGTGTTACTGGGATGGCACTGAGAAGGTCCCAGGGGGTGCAGGAGGGGGCACTGGGGGAGGGCACCGGTGTCACTGGTGTTACTGGGAGCACTGGGAGGCTCCCAGGGAGTGCACGAGGGGCACTGGGAGGCACTGGTGTTACTGGGAGGGCACTGGGAAGGTCCCAGGGGGTGCTCGGGGGGCACTGGGAGGCACTGGTGTTACTGGGATGGCACTGGGAAGGTCCCAGGGGGTGCAGGAGGGGGCACTGGGGGAGGGCAGTGGTGTCACTGGTGTTACTGGGAGCACTGGGAGGGCACTGG